ATGTTATTCGATTTTTATTTTTTGAGTTCATTTTTATCGATTGGATGCTTATCAATGATGATTATTAAATGAAAAAAAAAACAAGAATCTTTGAAAGAAAAATAAATAAATTTTTCGCCAGATTTTCTCGAAGAATCGTTTGCATTTTTGCGCTTCGTTCCTATTTCAATAAAAATTAAAAATATCATGAATTTCATGATTTATAACACGTGTATTGACAACATATTCCAATAAATGAACAGAGAGAACGGTAGAGAGAGAGAGAGAGAGAGAGAAAGAGAGAGAGAGAGATAGAGTTAGCGCGCGCTTACATGAATAATTTCGATATGAAAATGCTAATTAAATTGCACATTCAGCAATGATATTCATTAAACATTGCGCATGTTTAATGTTATGTGAGTGTGTGTCGCTATAAAGGATACACAATCAAAAACGAATAAAAAACGCATTACTCGTCTTGAAAATTATAATGTTGAACCATCAAAATCAATAAGAAAAATTATGTTTTCATTTGAAATGGTTGTGTTTACTTTAATGTGTATTTTATTTATTGTTGAAAATGGAATGAAGCTGCTACATCGAACAAAAAGTCTGATCACAACTGTAATAAGGAGTGAATATCACTATAATTAATGAAAAAAAAAACAGAACGGAAAATGAGCGAAGAGGACTACAAGCAAACATACACACAAAACAATATACAGACTGAACGAATGAACGAACGATCCAAAAACCAATGGCTTGTTATAAGGTGCATGAAGTATGATTTCAAACCATGATACGCTCTCTCACTCTGGCTTCCCGCTGTGTTGGTAACACTTTAGAATGAAACCAACCATTGTTAGGAAATTTTTCGAAATGAATATTGATAGCTATCTGTAGTTTTGATTTCCTTTCTCGATTTATTTACTTAGTTAGTCGGTTTTGTGTATGGGTACATGTTATTTTTTTTCTCCTCTTCTTCGGCTCTCTCAATTTAATCACTTGATTTGATTCGTAGTTTTACCTTTTAAACGGTTTATTAATACACCAATTCAGAGAAAACACACAGTTTATAATATTTATCATATCTCCAAATGAGATATGGGATATGGATAATGAAGATAACTTTATGTTAATGGTTTGCATTTATGCATGGGTCTCATACCTGGACACGCATATTCCTGATTTACGTAAGATTACTCTATTAGCCAGAGTGTGTATATAGTTTTGAGAGATAGTTCGAATCTCGGTTTTTTGTTTGTTTGTGTGTATGTGTGTTTCAGTAGCCTTCAAGTTATAAACAAGTATTTGGACAATTTTTAGCACCTTTTGCCAACCACTCAAAACAATATTATTTCACACGTTAGCATGGAGTAGAAAATTTATCTGCCCCTTAGTCGCTCCAAAAAACAAGCATTCGATTTAATTGGAAAAAACAGCAGGTATATAATAACACATACAAGAAAACTGTTATCATGAGTTTCTAACCAAATATATATCTTTTATTATTGTCGTCCTTTTTTATTCCGAAAAAAAGTTCTCCGTACAAATCACACGAGTCTCATTTCACCTTTTTTTTCCATAGAAATAATATCGTTTATAACAAATATCAATGCTAAATGACTTTTGATTGACAATAGAATCAAATCAATGCCAAAAGGGTTTTTTGTCCAATGGGATTTCTAACAAGCGAATCGAAAAAATCAATATTATGAATAAAAAAAGCCACACCATTATTCGACTGGGATACATTTCACAAATGTCGATTGTTTAAAGAAAAAAAAATTTGAAGAAAAAGGATACTTTTCTTTAGAAAATTAGCCATGTAAATGTGTTTATTAAACGGATATAATAAAAAAAAACATTCAATTTGATGTGAACTATTTTTTTTGAAATGTATCGGATTCAATTATCGAATAAAGAGGTTTGGATAATGTATTCTTAAGAGGGCTCCTTCAAATGTCAACGTTTTACATTTAAATACAAATAAAAACTCGGCACATCATCTGAACTAACAACGCAGCAAACAATGAATTAAAATAAACGTATGTTATGTCACAATTTAACTTGGTTGCTACTACCTTGGTGTGGTGAACATTTTCATTTAATTTTCTCGTCATGTTATTCACTGTATTTTTTCTTGTTTCTATGCTGTCTGGGAAGGTTTGCCATTTTTCACACACTCACATTGATCTCTGTCATTTATATTTCTTTGACAATGTTGCATTCTTGCGTTCGGGCATCTGGAAAATCCTTTGGAATTATAAATTCACACCTCTGTTCTTTCTTTATATGATTTTTCTATTTATACAGGAAAGCATTTCAAGTAGTCTGGTTGTTGTCTTCGTCGCAATAATTACTTGAACATATTTAAACGGAAAGAAGTTGTGCAGTGTGAGAGTAAGTGAGAAAAAGAAGCAAACAAAACAAAATAAGAAAGAGAAGTCATCAAAGTGGTTTTATGCGCGCCATACAAACAAAAACACAATACGAAAATCCAGTCCAGATGGTTTTTGCTGTGTGCAATCCATTATTGTCCACTTATGTGGCTATTATCAGAATTGAATGTACACTTTGTGCATTAAATGCCATTTCGAAATCGATGTCATAGCAACCAGGAGGAGGAACAATGTGTCGAGAGAGTCAAACGGAATGAAATGATAGGAAATTAACAAACCGAGAGCATTTTTTGATGAGCCAATTGTGTTGAGGTTACGCTTACTGAGTAATGCGCGCACACAAATACATGTAGCAAGAACGGCAACGGCCAACCAACAGCACAAAGCAATGTGAATGTTAGAAAACAAGACAACATTTATGAAAAGGACTCTCGTACTCACAAACGCACACAATCCATTATTACTCACTTAGAATGTGTCTATCTATATTTACTCTTTTTACATAAATTCAATTGAAATGGGTACTTAACTTTTGACAAAATCGATTAAATTAAACCAGCTATTGTTCGAAAGTCGTTTGTCCTGAAAGTTCATTCATTTGTTGTTGATTTGAAAATAATGTTCTCAGACTGACAGCGATCAGGCGTTCATCAATTGATGAAAGCGCTTCAATCATATGCCATCTAAAAGAAATAATACGTTTGTAATCTATGTATATGTGAAGTAAAAAAAAAAATAATTGTTTTTGATTACCAACTAATTTATATTTCATTGTCATTGATTCATATGGATGAAATGTGCTCGTTTTGCAATTTTCATTAGACACAACAGCAACAACAGAAATTCACTTCATCGATGAAACGTTCATTTAACAAAATACTACCGTAAAATGAAGCCATTGAAAATTATTTCGCCGCTCAATATATGTAGATTTGTGACATTTTAATGAATGAATAGATTGTATAATGTGAGACAAACGGCAAGCTTGTTAGGCGGATTAAGTAATTCTTTTTTTTTTTTGTGTGCGTTTTCTCTCTTTGGTTAGTCGCTTGAATTAGTTGTGTTGAAGTGTGTACGCAAATGAGATAAAGTAGTAGAAAAAAGAAGGTAAAGAAAATGTTGAAGCAGAGGATATTAGTCACATTAACACCGTGTCATTTTGATTAATTAATAAATAGAGAATGAATGAATAAAAAACACGAATTAAGCGATTAAATTATAACCAAATTTATAGCGTAGATTGGAGCTGAAAAAAAAATGAAACGAAACAAATTCATTCTTCGAAATGACTTTGTTAACAATGAAAAATGGTACACAGCGGCCGCTCTTCATATGTATTCGAACGAAAAAAAAATGTCGTGGGGCTATATCGCATCGAAGATAGCATGAACAACAATATTTGGATATATTTTGAATAAATGGTGAGTAATGAGTCGAATCTATTAAAATATGGACATTTATAAGATTACCGCGCTTGTTCAACAACACTGAAGAATGAATGGAGAAGAAAAAAATAGCGTGCGACCGATTGATGATAGCAAACATAATCGATGGTTATGTGTAAGAGAGAAAGTGAACTCACCGTAATGATTTGAACGAACAAAAAATTCTTAAATCTTTGATATCGATACGCGAGCATAGCAAGAGAACGAGAATGGTTATTATTGATTATTGTATGTACACTAGAGTGTTTCCCGTATCAGCAAATAAAAAAATGGTATTTCTTAATTCAAAGAAGGCAAAATTCTATGTTAGTAAATGGCATTCATATAACGAAGCGATTGATTTTAGCACTTCCCGAAACGAAAACATATCTGAAAATATAGTTGATTAGAATTTGAAGTACAATTCTCTTTGCTGTTTGCACGTATATCGACACTGTTCGCTTTGATAGAATATTGTTGCGATTCTTTAGAATTCGATAAATAAACAAAAGAAAGTATTTATATTCAACGCATTTTCAGAATCGTGTTGTTCGCTGTGTCAGCCGTTTTTTTGGCCTGTAAAATCATTTTATGAATTGAACCAAGCAGTCCATACAACACATACACATTTATATTGATCGCGATAGGCTAATAATAATAATCATTCCGTTTCTTTTGCTCTTAAGTGTTTACATACAAACTGTGATTCCGTTTATTGGTTCCGTACCATACATTCTTATTCAAACGCTTTATAAACAAAAAATGTGTGCAGTATAAGAATGCTTTCGACACAGAACCATCGGAATGTGGAGAAGTGTGTTGGTTCAAATGAAACGATCGTGTTGAAACTTGTCAGAATCAATGTTTTTTTTATTTGAATTTGCATCGTCATAATTTCATTGGATTCGATTGATAAAAGTGCTAAAACATATTTTTGGATTGTGTCAGTGTATGCTATATTTGTTTCTTGCTTTCAAAGAAGTTTATTTTTCGCTGTTGGCGGTTTTCTATTGGAATTATTGTCAACCGATTGTTTTCAAACGAGATATTTGCGGTGAATTTTGTGTTTGATTTTGTTTAGTTTTGATAATAACAAAACATTCACAAGCTGAAACTGCAAATATTTCGATTTAACTTTGGACCGTGTTGGTGTGGTTTGCATTTATATGTTGCATTCAAAAGAGTTAATATCACCCAATTTGTCGATTTTGAATCACTTCACGCTTAACATTCAATCAGGTAACATCAAGTGTCAGTTTTGTCCCCATATATTCAGTGCTTCCTATTGATTCAATTCATTTAAAAATTACACAGTGCAGAAAATATATTTGTCATTTTATTTGTGTTCTAAATTGCGCGTGTGTTTTTTTTTTATTTCGTTTTAGTTCAACATGTCAACGACTGGTGAAACTACGGCTGCTACAGCGCCAAGAAAAAAGCGATACAAATTTCAAACGAATGCGCAAAAAGAAAAGGATGCTGATGATGATGTAAACGATAATGGATTGTTCGCGATTAAAATGCGCCTCAACACAATTTTACGACCAGAGTTCAATCACATTGTCAAACCGTGGATCGAACAGAAAAGCATAATGTCAACGAAAATCACCGTTTTGGCATCATTACTTTTCTTGGATAAAGTGAAATCGGCACAAATGAATCGACAGTGGGAGTTTTTTAAAAACCGAACGTATCCGGCCAAAAAAGGAAAGAAGAAAGGACAGCTCGTTGAAAAGAATCGTGGCGAAGAAGTGATTGAGCAATGTTTCTATGCCGTCTTGCAAAAAAACAAAGAGGGTGAGAATATGGAGCCACATTTCCGTCAGTTTGTCGAAGAGCTCAGTCCAGAAAATAATTTCGCCTGGCCCAAGAACGATTATTTTGGTAATCATTTTAAAACGCTTTGCCAAAATCACACGCGATGCTTGAAAACCGGTCAAAAGACACACTGCAAGAAGAAGTTGAAAAATTATCTGCGAATGCGAGCGTGGCAATTCAACGCAGTGTCTACCGGTTGGAAATTCGACAAGAAGGACATTGACAATGCAGTCGATTTGATGATTCGAGGCTACAATGCGATCCGTGACACTCATCAAAATGCAGATTTCAAACGACACAAGCGAACATTACTTACTGGCATGGTTACTGCAATTGTGCGAGAAGTTGGTGGCCCAACCAATGATCACAACATCAAGGATTTTTCAAAAGGCGATTATTGGTTCAAAGCAACTGCAATGTGGCTCGTTATGCAGACAGAAATCGATGAGTGGCACAATTGGGCGCAAGATAACAATGTGAAGATACCAAATATCAAAAATCTCTCGGTTGTTCCATTGCCTGATTATCAACGAAAGGCAGTGTTCATGTGCAATGATGTCTTCTATCGAATGCTGGCCGAATCGAAACAACTTCCACAAGTTGATGGTAGACAAGCAACCGAAAGTTACATTCGCCAGAACAAAGAATTCTATTGGAATCAAGTATTCGATTTAACGACCATCAATCGAAAACTGAAGAAAAACAAAGAATTCCATTATACCATCGTCAGCAACGGTGAATCTGTGTCGATTATGTATCGCATGTCAAAGCAATACGAGCAACAGATGCAGAATGATGATATTCTTCGAAAGCAATTCATGGGCGGAAAATTTGCTTACGAACTGGGAATCGATCCAGGCATGAAAACATGGAATGCCACAGTTCGTCGAAATATCGAAACAAAGAAAGAAGTGAGTGTTTAAATTTTTGGCATTATTGAGAAATAGAAAGTGATACAGTTACGTGAATAATTTTTTTCTTCACTTTTCCATTTCAGGTCAACTTGAAAACGTCCAGTAAGAAGTACCATTGGCTGGCAAAGCAGAAGACGCGCGATGTAAAGGCAAAACGATGGACGAAGCAGTTCACCCAAGAGGAGCAGGACGATCGAAATAATCGACAATTGTATCAGCGAATGCCATCACCACTGGGCATACTCTGGATTGATTACGTTCATCATCGTATCAAAATGCTCAAGAAAGGAATGGCCGTGTATACAACACCGAAATACACGCTGTTGCAGTTTGACAAGTACGTCGAATCGAATCGAACCGTTGATAAACTCACTGGGAATTTGGTCAATCATAAAGCCGCAATTATTCACATGGGAAATGCAGAAATATCACCAAACTCGTGCATTCGAATCAAAAAGCATGTGAGAGCTCCAGGTACGCGCAAACTACTCAAAGGCTTTCGAAAACGTCGCAATTGTCGTGTGCGCAAAACAGATGAGTGGGGTACATCGCAGCATTGTGCAAAGTGTGGGCGACGATTTGATCCAGCCACAAGGAGCCATCGATTCAAAGTGTGTGAAAATTGTGGAGCGGAGCCCGATTCAATTTTCGCCGAATATTTACCATCAAAAATCGTAGCACAGCGCAGCAAACGGCAATTGAGGTACAACAAAGATGTCGTTGAACTTTATTTGATGCGATTTTGGGCAGAAGGACTCATGACTGAGCAAGAATTCGAGTGAGTGGTAAATTGGAATATGCTCAAGTCAATGCTGATGCACCGTATGCAACTGTTCAACAGCCATATGCAGTCGATGATGAAAATGAATTGGAAATCGAAGACAAGCAACTACTAATGGCTGTACACAAGACATCTTGGGATCGTGATATCGTCGCCGCCAAATGCATTCTCATCAAAGGTATGTGTATTAGAAATTTGCATTTGCATATATTCTACATATTAAATGAAATGCACACTATTTGAATGATCTATTTTAGCGCTCGATGATAAATATGTATGCAATATTTAATGACATTGAGAAAATATTTTTTTAATAAAAAAATAAATGTCTGTTGAGATATCTAAACATTTGTATAGATTTAAGAAAAAAAATCATTTCTGCCAATAATCTATACATTATTTCCGTGTGTGTGTTTACTTTTGAATAGGACATTGTGAGCTGTTTGGATGGGATATTCCGGCAGGATTAGACAGACGATCACCGCGACAGCCAGCAGTTCAACCGAATCAGCAGCCTTAAGCGTCACCAATCACCATTCGTACTCGAAAATTAATCAAAAATTAATATTGTAATTTGTTACATTAACTGAGACTGACTGTTGTGTCTCAGCATTTCGAGGAAGTACTTCTAGGTGTTTTTTTCTGTAAGTATTCTTCACTATGAGATTTTATTCATATAATGGAGTGATTGATATTCATATTCAGAGGCAACAATCGTTTTTCGCTTCGGGAAGTGTTGATATAAATCGCTTTGTTGTATCGATGCTACTAACCAGCATAGAATTTTGTCTACTTTCAATTAAAAAATACCATTTTTCTATTTACAGATATGGGAAACACCCTAATGTACACTTCAGTGAATATCTTTAATTAATATTGTTTTTTTTGCGTTTATTTTTCATTCATTCTGAATCAAAGCCAATATCAATTAAAAATGTGTGATCAGCAAATGAATCACAAGCAAACTCGAACGGAGCTTAAATATCGAATTATTGAGTGACCGTTGAGCAAATAATTTATGCATTTTTCTGCACCAAACGCAATGCAGCGAATTCATGCAACCAGGTCCAGTGCACCTAAATGCGAAAGTCAAGAAGAACACAAAATAAAGAAATCCAAAGGAGAAGAAAAACGAAAGACTCAGAGCTCATATTTTAAGTGTCGACATCTTTTATACATATTGTACACTGTTATTATGATCAATTTTTTGAAATATTGAATAAATATACGAAAAAAAAATCATTTTTTTTTGCACAAAATCCGAAATCATAAGAATACAAAGTATAAAAACAGAGCGAAAAACGCAAAAAGAGTATAAACGTAAAAACAATAATAGCTGTAAGCTACATATGTACTTTTATATTTGAATGGACGTGCGGTCATTTTTCTTAATAGCTTCGAAAATATGTAGGCAAACGCACAACGCACACACTGATTCATTTAAGTAATTTCTTACCATTAATAAATATTTCTGCACTTAAAAGCATAATTCCATAACGAGATTGGTGTACACACTCTATCACAAACCGGCCAACAGCTTCAGATCAAGGTGTGTGCGCGTGCGCGTCCGCAATCGCTTGCTCGGCTCATAACTTTTCTCTCTTTTAGCAACAAAACACAACTACAGTTCAACGTAATCACATCCAACCGTCGGCGGACCACGGATTCGATATTTTTCTGCTCCTTTTCAGCTCTTTAACTTTATCTTACTATGATGTGTTGCCCCCTTTTTCTTCATCGAACATCTCTCACACACCAAAATATTAAAAAAAAAAATCCGAACAACGCGAATGTAAATGCGTATTGAAAACGAGCAAGAGATAAATTGCTTTGTAAATTATTTTTATTGATTCGATGATGGTGCGTGTTGGTTGTCTCTCTTTCCCTCGATGCGTCTGCATGCGTAAACGAGAATGAGATAGAGAATGTCTTGCGTGTTATTACCATGTGTGTATGTGGTTAGTCGGTTAACAGCCCGTTTTTTTTTCAGGTAAACTATTTGTGTTATGTGCGCCTTAATGTTCTTATTCATTAATTATTTGACTTTCCATATTTTCATCATATCGGATCGGTTGTATTTTCTTAAATTTGCAACGAGAGAATGGGTTTGGAGTTGCATTTGAAACAGGCATTTTCCAAATGTGCGGGTTCCATAAATGTAATACAATGATTTCGTTTTTCATTTTCATGTAGAGGTAGGATAGAGAGCAAAAGCGTGAACAAATTTATTAAATAAAAACTGATGAAAATTAACTTAAACAAATAATATGGAAAAATGTTGTGTGTATGTGGAAGTGACATATCGTTTTGGGTACACATCACATCATTGTTATATGTTTGCTTGAAGCGACAACAATGTTAAATCGAAGCTCTTGTGATTAGAACTACACACACACACAACACACATAATACATCAACATTTTTGGCCATTAATTACAATTAACTAGGAAGATTTATTCGGTGCTTGGTAAATTGGATGTGATTTGGAGAAGATATTTGTATAAATTAGATTATGGTTTCTTCGATTATTTTGTTTTGTTTCCCATTTTCCATCGGGATGAGCACACCATTCAACCAATCATAATTTTTTTAAGTGATGAAATATGCTAAGCGTTCTGAAATTCCACCAATATTAAAAGCAATCATCTACTATGTGAACAGATTTCTGTTTCGAAATGCACGACCATTGTTATTTCCTCTTGATGGATTAATCGAAAATGCCATTTGATTCTAATTACGATAAACATTCATATTTTTTTTTCTTTTCGTTTTGTTCGTTTTCTTTTTTGGTACACATTCGTTTGGTCACTATTTTCATTCATTCACTCATTTGCACGGCACAGCGCGCAGATAAGTTGGATATTCTGACCATATGGATGTTTTTTTTTTCACTTCATTCTTGTTACTTAATGGAATTATCGATTGAAATTCACCGTTTTTCATTCAGTCCTTCAAAATTTGAAATGCTATACGCAATTAAATAGTAAAAAGAGATTTAATATTAATAATATATAAAAAGAAATTTTTTTTCCGAAGGTGTGCATTTATGAAAGCCGAATTTATGATCAATTGTAAGAAAGCACAAATTATATTGCAAATTATTTACGAATTTATGATTTTTTTTAGGAAGATACATTGATTTCATTGTAAAACAATAACCAGTTTAGGTAGATCTCTTAATTTATCGACATTTTAAGTCCAAGACATATTTGACATTAGACCTCTATGAAAAAAAAAATCATTAAAAATAGTCTAACTACCCTGAGATCGAAAACATAATATCATGGTCCATGACAAGTAACAATTTTTTTTATAGACACCCATCGAATAAACCTTTCTACCGATTCTTGTAATGTGTATGTTCCAGTGGGAATGTATTAAATGCTTAATAATTCTACATATTTTGTACGAATCATACCTTGTGCTAATCATGATCAGCACTGTATTCTCATTTTAAAAAGAAGCCCGGTAAAAATGTGCGCCGATGATATCATGGACAAACAATCAAAAAAATGCCTTTTGGTTAATAAGTGGATGGAAAGATGTGGGTTCGTGTTACGAATATATACATTTTTGGAAGAAAATGTTATCGATGATGTTAATGAATCATTAATAATGATCTGTTTATTGGAAATTACATACTTATAAGTTGTTCGGAAGTGAATCTTGTTTATTTCTTCGAATTTTGTTTTCATTCTCTCTCTCGTTTCGCCTAAATCGATGAACATCATCAATTGATTGGCCTTGAATTGAATTGGTTGATGAATTTAAGACTGAAAAATGTCGATTTTTTTTGAACACATACAATCAACAATATCATATACCCCTTTTTCGTCTGAAATGCGATCTCTTTTATATCTATTGTTCGCTTATTAGTTCGTATTTGCTTTTTAATTCCAGATCCACACGTTCACAATTGATACTGCAATGAATTCTTGGGAAATATTTGTTTTGTTGTATTCATCGCATACAATGGAGAATGCACAATAATTTATCAAAAATATATTTTTAATTGATTAACTTGAAATGTAACAATTTCGTCTAATTTTATATTTCACTGCGAAGAATGCTTTTTCGAGAGAGAAAAAAGGAAGAAAGTAAAAAAAGGGTGGCATCATTTCACATAAAACCATTATTGTCCTTTTGATTGATGTTTACATTTTCTATGATTGACTTTTTGTTTAAAATATACTAACAAAAAAAATGGTCGATTTATTTATCGTTTTGTTTTCAAGCATCTGTAAATGCACGCATATAATGAACAAATCATTTTCGGATTGTATTCTTCATTGTTATATTGGTATTTTCAGTTTTATGAATTGGTACGCGAGGTATAGGTATTTTTTTTTTATTTATTTCGACTCGGGTCATCAGGTTACCAATTCAATTTGACTTGTTTGAAATTTCTGTTATTCTGTAGACTTTGAAATGTTTTGGAAACCGACAAGAGTGAAACAAAAATGTTGTCGATCTTTTTTTTATTATTTGTGAAATTTTCTTTTGATTTTTCGCACGCTTTCCATCCATCATTGCCTTATGTGGAATTTTTGAATTTTTGCCACTTATGAATGCAACTCAGCGGCGGCGGCAATCATTTCAATCTGTTGCCTCGAATTCACATCTTAATCATTTTTAAATTGATGGAAAGTGCCAAAAATTCAAAGAATTCTACATAACCGCATGTTTTAGAGTAAATACTTTTTCAAAGTACTAGCTCATGTATTTGAGTTTCTTAATTTCATTGGTAATTTAATTCATCAAGCGCGGTTGAATCATGCGGCGCGTAAAGTATTCGACACTCTTTCTCTCTCTCTCTCGATCTCTCATTCCTCGTCACCTCTTGAATATCGTTGTTGTCTGTTGTTGCGAGAGAACAACAATTTAACACGTTAAACAACTAAAACACACTGTGTTTCAAAAGACATGTGTTCTATGTGTCACTAAAGACTTACCATTAACAAATGTCCCGCTTGAAGAAAAAAAGAAGAAAAAAACTCGGACATTCGTTTAATATTTAACCAAAAATAAATGTTATATTTATGTAAATTATGTGGCTCAATCAACTATAATGGACTATTTAGATGCACATACAAAATGCGCAAACGAGCGAACGCGCAAGCGCATTTGCCGTATACTGTGCGCAGTGCGGAATCGAGTATGTCTAGTGGAATGGCATTTGTAAACAGAAAAAAAAATTTATAGCAACGAATCTGACAAAACTGAACATTTAACACAGTTAAAATGATAATCGAAATGCCCATCTTGTGTTAAACGACAAAAGAGGTGAGAAAGAGAGACGAAGAATTTTGACCAAAAAGCGACAAGTGATGAAGCCACAAGAGTATGGAACAAAAATAAATAAATATATATAGCACAGAAGAGATTTGGGCCGGTGTGTGCGACTCATTTTCAACAGCAAAAAAAAAAAACAGCGAAAAAATGTTACAAATGCCGCGTTGTATTTTCCGTGTTCAGTCACATTTGTTGGTGATTATCAAGAGAATCCAACGTAGTCATAGTTTGGACGGTGAATGCAATCCAAACACAGCCGAGAGTGAAGACAATGCACGGATAAAGGCATTAGCAAAGAAATAATAATTTATATTTTATCGATTAAAATGACATGTCAATATTATTTTAAATTAAATTGAATTTTAAAAACCGATGAAAATCGAGAATGAGATAACCACATACCAATACCTGTAAATGAGAGCCAACCAACGGAGAGCTAAGAGCATCAAACTAAATGAGCTGTTTAAAGAGAACACAAAAAATGAGAGACTGAAAGAGAACCAGAAGGGGAGATAGAGAGAGAGAGTGAGTACCATGTAAGCATGCCTGAGCACAGAGCGCGCACAATGAATTAATAATACAGTATGTATTCAAATAAATTGATGACAGTGGATGTTTAGTTGGACGCAAA